AGACCAGGGTGGTGGTTTCCAAGTTTAAAAACTGGGACCGGAGTTTAGCTCCAAATATCAGAGCATCACTCTGCTCAGCCGTTCCGGGAAAGTTAACTCCAGAGGGCTGGAGGGGAGGCTCTGACTGGTAGCTGAACCGTGGATCTGGAACGAGCAGCGCTGATTCCATCCTGGATGTCGAGCAGGTGGCAACAGGCAGCAACAGGCGGCTCGGTGCAGCATCTGCAGGGATGTGGATGCTGCATAGTTTTGCCTTCAAGGAGAAGTCATATTGTGTGTCATGTTTCCAGAATGCTGCATTTATGTAAGATGCAAAATGCAAAGTTTTTGTTTCGGGACAAAGACACATGTTTCCATCAGTGACAATCATTACGTCCTACCCTGATTATGAACACAGGTTTACGTTGACAGGTTTAATACCAAGCTAATTTCATGAAGCTCCCCAATCTGACTCGCAGAAGTTAGAGTTTAATTTACAAACAATATTAAGTTGGTGCAATTATTGTGTCAACTCATCACAATAATTTTTAATCTAAATCCTTAAACTTGAGTTTCATCTTGCAGCCATGCGTAGGTCTCTTGCATTGCCTTTTAGCAAAGACAGGACATCACTCATTTGCACATATTTGCTCCGTAAGCAACATTTGTCTCCTGCGTATGTCACATCTCAGCCTTCATGTTTGCGCTCATCCAAAAACCTGAAACCTTCCTGTTTGCGTGACAAGTAGCGAACTCGATGTTGTAATTGCAGGGGATGTGGGACTTTATACGTTAACTTTCACCTGGTATTTAAAACGCCCACGCTGCTTGCACAGTTGTTTGCAGAAGCTTTCAGGAAGAGCTTTCATGCAGTAAACTTGTGTAAATGCCCTCTGGTGTTGGAGGTTTCGCAGCTCGGCTTACATAACGTCTTTATCATGTAAAGGTCACTGTGAGCCTGCAGGTGGTGGAGACCTTTTTCTGCTGGCACTGACACAAACGCTCCATCCCTGTGACAGAGTTTACATTTTTCCTGACATCGCCACCACGCCCAGCGCAGCGTGACTGGCAGCCCTTTAAAAAGGAGGCCAGCGTCTCAGCTCGTCACTCTCCTCTCTGTGTCCTTTCCAGCCACAGCAGAAGCCATCATGTACTCTCAGACCTCCTCCAGCTCCATCAGGATGTCCCGATCCGGGGGCTCCATGATTGGCGGCAGCAGCGCACGAATGTCGATGAGGGCCGGCAGCGTGTGCGGCGGTGCTGGAGGCTCTGGGACCCGCATCTCCTCTGCAATCTCCCGGGGTGGGAGCTTCGGTGGTGGGAGCTTCGGTGGTGGTTTCGCTAATGGCTTCGCTAGTGGCTTCGGTGGCGCCAGCGGTGGCTTCTCGTCCTCCATGAGCTACAGCGTGTCTGGCATGGACGACAGCGTGATCGGCAACGAGAAGTTCACCATGCAGAACCTGAACGACCGCCTGGCCACCTACCTGGCCAAGGTGCGCGCCCTGGAGAAGGCCAACGCCGAGCTGGAGCTGAAGATCAGGCAGTATGTGGAGAGCAAGGTCGGCCCTGCCACCCGCGACTACAGCGCCTTCTTCGTCACCATCGCTGACCTCCAAACGAAGGTAAAACTCCTCCTCGTTGTCCGGCTGTGGTGCTGCATGTAATGACGAGTCCTGTCAGTCAGAGTCAGAGTCATCCAGGTGGAGGGAATCCTAAGAGCTTGGGCAAAAGAGAAATCCAGTTGCTTTTTGCTGAAGCTCTTTGGATTAATGACTTTTTTAAAACCTTTGCAGTTTGTGCATCAGGAGGAGACAGCAACAGATGTCACCCTCCCAGAATGCACAAAACTCAATGTGCAGAAACAAACACTGAACTGCTGCACAACAAAAACTAACTGTAATTTTAAAAAACTAATTGCTGTTTGTTGTTTCTTTAAATTCCTGTTTTGTTAAATCACACATGACAACTAGTAAAGTCACAGAAACAAGCCAAAACTGGAAATAACATCCAGAGTTTAAACACGTAAGCTTCAAAAACGGAATAAATTCTGCTACTGAATAATAACTAATGACTCTGCAGCCACATCGTATGTTTGGTAGATCAGTGTAGGAACAGAAACATGCAGCGCTCTATAAAGCTGATGGTGTTGGTAACTCTGCTGCTTCTGCTCTCCAGATCCAGAACGCCGTCAAACTGAACGGATCCGTCCACCTGAACATCGATAACGCCCGCCTGGCTGCCGAAGACTTCCGGACCAAGTGAGTTCAGAGAAACAGGCGCAGACAGGATGCAGGAGGAGTGACTGTAGATGTGATATTAGTAATGTAAGGAGGAGTCCTCGGCGAGCAGCAGGAGGTGGAGGAAGGGGTTGTAGTAGCAGGAGGAGCTTCCTTCATGGTTCGGTGTCTTCAGTAAATGTCAGACTGACCAATAACCCCGACCAGATGTTGAATAAACCTGATCAGACTTTAAATGAATCTGTATTAAACTGATCTGGAACGTTCTCTAATCTAATTTTCTAATAATCCTCAGCACATCTTTATGTCACGTGGTCCAAGTTTTGGAATAAAATCAGCCTAGCAGCAACTACAACCGTCCTCCATCCGTTGTTTCCTCTGCAGGTTTGAGAACGAGCTGGCCATGCGTCAGTCAGTGGAGGCCGACATCGCCGGGCTGAGGAGGGTCCTGGACGAGCTGACTCTGGCCAGAACCGACCTGGAGATGCAGATCGAGGGCCTGAAGGAGGAGCTCATCTTCCTCAAGAAGAACCACGAGGAGGTGAGTGCGCGCCAAGCCAATCAGGACAGAAGCAAACTGTAATCTAAAGAATGCCCAAAGGTGCATCAGAGACCCAAAAACGGTTCCGCCAGGCAGCACGCATGGTGCTTCAAAGCAAAAATAAGTTCTTTAAGGAACCGTTTTTAAGAACGTTGTGGACCCACCTGGTTCTGTTTTGCCAAAAATTAAGCCCAAAAAAAGTCAAATGTAAGAATTTGTTTCTGGGTTCTTCCATGAGCACACATGTAAAGTTTTGGGTTCTGGAGTTGGTCACACAGAACAAGATGTTACAAGAGGTTAGCTAAATAAAGATGTTCTTCAATCTTTGAAGAACCTTCTAGAGAACCATTTATAAACCATTATTTCTCTGAGAGCATAAACAGAACAGGATGCAAATATAAAAGGTGAGTTCAGAAGGCAAAACCCTTCTTATTGTTTTGAGAGTGGACCGCAAGACAACCTGTAATTTTTTTTGGCCTTTTTGCCTTTATTGTATCGGACAGTCGAGACAGAGAGACAGGGAAGTGGGGGAGGAGAATGGGGGAAGGACCATGAGTGGGATTTGAACCCACGGCCCCTGTGTCGGGGACTATAGCCCCTGTACATGGGTCGCCAGCCCAACCAGAGCTACAGGGGCGACCCAATCTGCTCTTTTTCTGAAGAGTAAAAGAAACCTTAAGCTTTGCAGACACACATCAGTCTTACACTTGTTGTTTGTTCGTAGGAGCTGCTGGCCATGCGCTCTCAGATGAGCGGCCAGGTCCATGTGGAGGTGGACGCCGCTCCTCAGGAGGACCTCACCAAGGTCATGGCGGAGATCAGAGAGCACTACGAGGCTGTTGCTGCCAAGAACCAGAGGGAGCTGGAGACCTGGTTCCAGAACAAGGTACGGCCACAGCATCCTTTTGCGCTGACCTACAGCTCGTCTCAGTGTTTACGTGTGGACTGAACAGGTGTGTGTTTCCTCTGCAGAAAGAGGCTTTGAACAAAGAGGTGGTCATCCAGACCACCACCCTGCAGACGTCTCGCACAGAGATCACAGAGGTCAAACGTACGTTGCAGTCTCTGGAGATCGAGCTGCAGTCCTTGTTGGGCATGGTGAGCATCACACGACCATTAAACCCCGGTGATATTCAGGGATTAACAGCGTTCGGAAAAGTGCTTGATTATATTTTTCCTCTGCAGAAAGCGTCGCTGGAGGGAACTCTGGCAGAGACACAGAGCCGCTACGCCATGCAGCTGTCTGGCTACCAGACGCAGGTGAGACATTAACACTCCTGTTTGTTTCAGGAATCGAGCCAGCACGGAGCTGTTCCGCCCGATAGCTCACCTGTGAATTTTTCTGTCCTCCAGGTGACGTGCCTGGAAGAGCAGCTGGTGCAGCTTAAGGCCGACATGGAGAGGCAGTCCCACGAGTACAAGATGCTGCTGGACATCAAGACCAGACTGGAGATGGAGATCGCCGAGTACAGGAGGCTGCTGGACGGAGAGGCCAGCAGCAGCTCCAGGTGAGACTCTGTCACACGTGTGATGACTAAAGCTAAAGCCAACAGGTTTAAGCTGCTGATATTAGCCCAAACAGCTGCTGATATTAGCCCAAACAGCTGCTGATATTAGCGTTAACAGCTGCTAACGAAGCAACCGAGTGATGCCGAGACTCATCTGTTCTGTCTTCTGATTGGTCCACAGCATCAGCAGCTCGTCCTCCTCGAGCACATCGACCCGACGGGTGGTAACAGTGGTGGAGGAGGTGGTCGATGGGAAGGTGGTCTCCACTTCTTCCAAATCTTCATCTTCATCTTACAAGCTGACGAATTAAGTGTGGATGACAGCAGAGCATCAGTTTGTTTTCTCTGTTCACTCAGCAGAGAATCTGATCAGAAAATAAAACGAGAGTCCAAAGAAACGCAAAGTGTACCTGTCTTCATTTTACCTGCTTGAACTGAGGTGTCTTCATAGATCAGTGATTCCCAACCAAACACTGGCCCAACTGGTAAACAGCACAACTAATTTGGTTTAAAGATATTCATCCACATAATGAGCGACACCAGCAACCGAGAAGCAATTGGTTAGAAAGTGAGCAGAGACTTCAAAGAAATGATATAGCTTCAAGTTTTGAAATAATTAGTTAAGTAGGAACTCCTTCACAGCTTAAAACAAGAAAAAGAATCAAAGGAGAGGAAAAAAATGGTTTCAACAAAGCGTTGGCAGCAATTCAGCCAACTGTAGTAGATATATTGGGAAAACTATCATTAGAAATGACTGAAATAGTTCGCTTATGACAGTAAATATGATATGTTTTGGATATCATCACTCAAATCTGGCTATTTTGAAAAAGCTAACAATGTATATATGAAAAGTAATGACTAAATGGTGAATAATAATAATAAATGACTTAAATAGTTTGATAAAAGTAAATATTATAACCGTAAATGTGAAAGTCATGCTGAAAACTAAATGTTATAACAGTAATAGATTAAAAAAACAAGCTAAAAGTAATAATATAACGATATGAAGTTAGCACTTTTCTACCTTAGTGGTATCCAAAGTGCTTTACAATGTGTTTCTCATTCACCCATATATTAATACACCAATAGCGAACAGAGCTACCATTGGGGTCAACTTCAGGTTTAGTGTCTTGCCCAAGGACACCTCGACTGTAGAGGGGCAGAGGATCGAACCACCAGCCTTGTGATCAGAGGACAACCACCTGAGCCAACTGTGTCTGTCTTGCACTGTTTTCAAGTTACAGTGCAGAATGACCTTGAAATATCATCCAAGGTCAAATATAACATCACCAACAGAAAGCCCCAACATGGTTCCTTATCTCCACCCAATACCATCAATCTGTCTTCTACCCTTTTGAAGGTTTACTGCATTTCCGCCTCTAGTGGAGCCATTGTTGCACCGATTGACCCCAAAATCGACTCAGTCCGAGGAGACGCCATTCCCAGCTCACCTGTAAATATCAACCTGTTAAAGCTCAACACTAAAGCTGGAGGCTGTTCACAGACACACACTGACTCAGACGACCAGTGCAGGTGAGTTCAACAGGTGAGGTTTCACACAGATCCAGGTGAGTGACGGTGCTGACCTCTGCTGGTTGTCTTCGCTCTTTACTACAACCTGCTGTTAGTATTTCCTCACATCACCCCTCTGGGCTTCTTTCTTCTCTCCCTTTTACCAGCCATGAATGAATTAGATTTCTCTCGCTCTCCTACACTATGCTATCGTTTCTTAACAACGAAATCTTTCTGGAGCAGACTCCTGCTGAGCTCAAGGGTTTGCAACATGAACCACGGCAGCTGTTTCATCTCTGTATTATTTTTTTTAAGCCCTCAGACCGACAGATTCGTCCGACCTGTTCAGTACCTTCTAAAAAAAATACATTAAATATCACAAATACAATAAACAGCTCCCATTCTCAGCCAATCTGAGACATGTGGAGAGAAATAAATACACAAGTTGGATAAATGACCTCAAATAAAAATGATGGAAGTAAAGATAAAAGACGGACGGATCATCTAAGATCAGACAGAATTAAACAAATTCTTTCTGTTGCTTTTATAAAGTTTGTCAAAGCAAAAAGTTCGACATGAATTCAGAACAGCAATACAAAATAAAACAAAAGCTCAAAGTGTTAATTATTAACTCGGCATAAATCAAAGAGAGTTAATCATCACAGTTTTATCTCTGTGCAGCTGCGGCTTTAGTTTCTGTTTGTCATGAGATGTTGAATGAATTTTTATCCTCAGTGAACGGTTATAGTTTCAGTGTTTGTGCATTCAGGGCCTACAAGTGGAAACTTAATCTGATTTTATATCGTGGTGCGGTTCAGGAGGCAGATGACAGAACAGGGAGCTACGATATAAGATTTTAAAGTCAAGCTTTGGTTCAATGTTCCCTGTGGAACGGATTTAAAACGTGTGAGGGATCAATACCACACGAGACACCATCAAAATATTTTACATTTTATCAGAGAGATGTAAAGATATGAACATGAATTCATTAGAGACATCCCGATCCATCATTTAATATCCGTTGACACCATTTTCCTCAATAATACACACTTGAAATATTGTAGCTGTAGTACCTGATTGTTCCACCAGATGGCGCCTCTTACCGCTTAATCCTGTAGAGACCAGAGGAGGCATCACTCGGACCAGTCGGCAAGCAAAGAGCATGAGGGCTTTAGCTGGTAACAGCACCACGATGAAGACATCTTGTTAAACTTCATGACGTCCACTCAGAGCTCATCTGTTAAATTAAGCAGCGATTAAAGAGAACAGTGACATCTGCAGCATTCATCTTGTGCTCACAGTTTCAGAGTATTGCCAGTATCAGGACATGTGCGTGACATGAAACTATTGAATATTGATCAACAGTGCTGCAGTTACCAGGAAACCTC